CACTATTCCCAGTTTCTCCCAGTGGTTGGTACATGGTAGCTTCTCAAAAAAATATTTTGTGAATGAAAGTTTGATCTAGTGTCTTAAAGACTGTCTTGCGCTTTGTGATAAAGGTTTTTTTTTTCTATTAAAAATTTTAATGTATTTAAATTGAAAGCCTGTAAAAATCCTCGGGTATATCCCTAACGGCAAGTCCCGCTGTTGTCATGGTTACACTTTAGCTAGCCTTTCCTTTCAGAGTCGGGTGGCCCCTGGCAGTGGGAGGGAACACCAAGCTCAAAGCCCAGGCTTTTATCATAGAGTTACACCTCCCTACCTCCTAGAGGGCACTTCCGGAACAGCAGTTTATTCTTTGCTGCCCAAACCAATCTATGATTGTGGAGGAGAGCCGGACTCTTTCTCCTTGGCTAAACTTCCGGAAAACCTCCACGTGCATCTGGGGCGGGGGTTGGGGGGTGGGGCAGTCCCCGTGAGAGCGGCTTTGTGATTGGCAGGTAGGGCAGGAGGCGGGGCTTCGGGCGGACGTGCCCCTGGCGCAGGCGCGTTGGGCCGGCGTGGCGGTCGGGCCGGCGGTCTCGGCTGGGACTTTCAGTTGTTTCTGCGCGGTTCTGCTCTCGGCTGGGACTTCAGTTGGTGAGTGTGGGTGACAGGGGTTGGGCGGGGCGGGGCGGGCGGTGAGAGGGCTGGGTCTCGGTTTTTGGACCTTGGTGGCCGTGCTTCCACGTGCATCCCGTCCTTGGTTTGGGGAGGGGTCGCTTTCACCTGAACTCAGGGAAAGTGTGTTTCCTCTGTTGTAAAATGAGGGCAGGACTTCCTCCTTTGTCTACCTCGGGTCTTGTGAGTGCCCTGACGTTCCTAGAAGTGCCAGCCCTGGAGAGACCCTCTGGGGTCACCTGGTGGCCCAGCCAGCCTTCCCATTTTACGTATGGGGAAAGTGAGGCCCGGAGAGTGAAGTCGTTTGACCGAGGTCACCCAGCCAGTGAAGGCCGAGCCAGCACGTAGGACTGTCCCTGGGGTTCCATTGCTGCTTTATGCAGCACGACTGGAGATTGGAGGCGGGAACCTAAGCATTCCGGGTGTGCCCTGCACTCCTCTGCTGTGTCGCTTGTCAGGTGGCCTCACATCTCTGAGCTCACCTCTTCTGTGAGTTGGACATAACGATAATAATGGCAAAACTATTATATACCAGGCACTGTCGGCAGCACTTGAGGCCCAGCTTTCCTGATTGGATTGCGGGGCCATTGTGAGTTAACCTTAAAAGAGGCCTGTGCTCCAAAGATTGAGCCGCGCCCCTCTGTAAAAATTTGGTGAATGACTGAAGGACTCAGAGGCCCTTTGCTAGAGTCTGAGGTGCAGAATACATTAATTACTCTACTGCTTTAGAGGTACTGTCTGTAGATAACGCTGAAATTTTGAGATGATAAATATTCTCCCATCTGCGTAAGCTGAGGGGTCTGAGGACAGGCACACGATGGGAGTGAGGGCAGAGGGTTTAAGGCTCTTATTTAAACTATCCAGATAATTGTTTTGTTGCACCTGTCACTTAGCTTTTCATTTACTAATATATTTGATTAGTACACATAATGAACTCTTCAGTGTGATGCTAGGCCCTGAAGCCTGACAATATAGAAAACATCACAAACTCCTCGTTTAATGGAGGAATAGGACATGAAATATTGCTCAACTCCCAGTGCCTGGCACACAGCAGCTTCTCGGAAATAGCTTTGAAAATTATTCCAGTCCAGTAAACTGTAAAGCCTTGTGTGCAGTGGGAGCGCAGAGAAGGAAGTGGTCATCTCTGTTTGAGGGTTTGGGAAGCTTCTTGTAATAGGTGAACCTTGAATGATGGAGTTGCTGGGGTGAAGCTGGCCAATTCCAGGAATGCTGAGCAGTCTGGGGGAGTGGTAGGGTAAAAAGCTGGGAAGAGGTGTGTTGGGATCAAAATACAAAGAGGCTTCGTGTAAATGGAAGTACCATTCCAAGAAAATGATGACGAGGAGCCATTAATGGATTATAAGCCGGGGCATGATTGGATCAATTATCTTTTTAGCTGTAATATGGAGACCAGACAGACAGGGGTCAGGAGTCACTCAGTTCAGTCATTGGTGGACATTTATTGAGTATCCACTGTGTCCAGGCACCGTGCTGGATGCTACGGATACAACTTGGAATAAGACAGACATGGTCACTGCCCGCATGGAGTTTATTGTGCTTTTCCCAGTGTGGTCCCTGGTCTAACGGCATCAGCATCACCTGGAAACTTGTTAGAACGGCGGTTTCTCTGCGCACACCCCACGCCTACTGAATCAGAAAGTCTGGGGCTGAGGCCCCACGGTCAATGTTTTAACAAGCCCTCCAGGTGATTCTAACGCCCGACTTAAGTTTCACAACCACCTGGCTACCGTAATGGACCAAGCGGTTTTGAGAGGCCAACCCAGGGTAGAGGCAGCAAGAGCCAGAAAGGAGAGGGTGGACTTGAGAGGGAGGTCAGAGACGGACTCCTCTGCTTTCAGAGGAGTTAAGGATGAAGGAGTGTCTGGTGTGGGCCACTGGCTCGCGGTTTACCAGATGAGAACCATGTGTACTTGCCTCCAGAGCCCACACTTTTCCATTCAGTCGCATTAGGGCTCTGCGGCAGTGCCTGCCAACCTGTCTCAGGCCACGGGCCATGGGGGAGATGATAATATTTGTACTGTGCATGGGGGACATGGATGAGGCTGCTTGGGGTGGCAGGAGACCAGCTGGAGGACTTGAGGCCACTAGGACCTGGAAGGGGCCACCCAGGGGTTCCAGGCTCCCAGAGCTGAGAGGAGCCGGCAGCCCATTGTCAGCATACCACAGGGCAGCTCTGCTTCACGGGAGATGCCGAAAGGTAGGGCTGTCCCTGGACTTGGCAACATAAATCGAGAACCCTGAGGGGTGCCTGGGTGGCTCAGTCGGCTAAGCGCCCGACTTCGGCTCAGGTCATGATCTCACAGTTTGTGAGTTCGAGTCCCGCGTCGGGCTCTGTGCTGACAGCTCGGAGCCTGGAGCCTGCTTCACATTCTGTGTCTCCCTCTCTGTCTGCTCCTCCCCTGCTCACGCTTGGTCTCTCTCTCCTTCAAAAATAAATAAAAACATTAAAAAAAAAAAAAAAAAAAAAA